AAGGCGCCAGCCGATGGCCCAGAGTCCACTGCAACAATCCCAGTACCTGAAGTTTTATCCAGACTCGGCACAAAGACCCAGCAAACATCTGCAGTGAGAGCATCTGTTGAGCTGTAAGTGCTTGGTCATTTTCCCCAAAGCTATTTTCCAGGGAAGACTGAGCAGAAGATCCAGACCAATGGCTTGGCAGATACTCCGACTCTGATCTCACTAGGGCTTGGCAGCCTCCAACAAGCGGCTCCAAATACTTGCTCTGTGTATCGGGCTGTTGGGGCCAGACGGAGGGAAGGAGACAGGGAATGACTTCTGGCGGAGGCCAGGGTTAGGAGGATGTATCTCCCCTACACAGATGCTAACTAGAGCGTGACCCAGGACCACCAGCCGACCGCTCTTTTAGAAAGCAGACATCAAGAGGGTCCGCGGCTCATGTACCTCTTCACGCGAGTCATCAGATTGCTCTTCTGCTCCCCTGGGTCCCCTGAGGGGCTGGGAGAGAAATTGGCTTCTGGCTTTTGTCAGAGGAGGCCAGCAGGTAGAAGGGGAAACGGAAAGGAAAGTGAGAAGGAACTTACTCAATCGGCCTTAACTCACCCAGGACCCTGCAGCCCAATGTACATGTTACTGCCCACAGATGCGGGTGGGTCACACTGTGAGCCACTGTGCCCCGAGGCCACAGAAACCACCCCACAGGGGCAACAAAGCAAACGCCTAAAAAGTAACAACTTCTTTAAAAATTAATTTATTTACTTGAGAGAGAAAGCACAAGGGGATGGGCAGAAGGAGAGGGAGACAGAATCTCAAGCAGACTGTAAGTTGAGTGTGGAGCCCTACGCACGGCTTGATCCTGGGACCCTGAGATCATGACCTGAGCTGAAATCAAGAGTTGGATGCTTAACTGACTGAGCCACCCAGGTGCCCCTGGTAGCGGTTTTTAAAAGAGGTGGGTAATTACAGCTGTGACCCATCCCCAGTTCTCAGCAGAAGGAAATCCCATTCAGAGGTACAGGTGTTGAGACCACCTAGTCTAACACTTCACTTTAAAAATGAGAAAACTTGGGCGCCTGGGTGGCTCAGTCGGTTAAGTGTCTGCCTTCAGCTCAGGTCATGATCCCAGGGTCCTGGGATCAAGCCCAGGGGCTCCCTGCTCAGCGGGCAGTCTGCTTCTCCCTCTCCCTGTCCTTCCCCCTGCTTGTGCACTCGCACTCTCTCTCTCAAATAAATAAATAAAATCTTTTTAAAAAATAAATAAATAAAAATGAGAAAACTGACACCCAAATGGATTATGTTACGTGCCCGATTTTATCTTTCCCCTGGGTGACTTCAGCTTAGGGAATTGTTCTTTTTCATCTAGAATCTATGGAGGAAAGATAATTTATCCCTTTAAGTCCTATTGGTTTAGATGTCTTGCCACCATTTCACGGGAATATGAAAATTCATGTTACGTCCATCATTGCCAGCGAGCTGAGCAACCACGCCCTATCCAGGGAAACCCAGCTTGGCAAATGGAGGGCTAACGGTGCCCCACGCTGCCCAGACCCCTTGCTTTTATTCCCGAGCGGCACCGCTTTCTTTTCCCAGGCGTGTTCCACATTCGGGAAAAATCGCTTTCTCTCCCTGGGCCAGGAAGCTTGTGGGAAAGTCATCACGCCTGAAAAGAAAGTGCTCCGGCTTCTTCTCTCTCCCTCCCCAGACTTCCTCACCCCCAATTTCCTTGACACCCTGACCGTGAACTTACTGCGCCTTGGACGGGAAATCAGAGAAGGCGCTTCAGCTGCTCTGGAAACAAGTTCTCTGACTCATGCCCGAGACCAGTAATAAAACTACCTGTTCTAGGAAACTGGCACTGGTGATGACCTCCTCCATGTGCTCCTCATCGGACTTGAGAACGGATTTAATGTTCTCCACAAGCTCGTGGATGTCTGGGGTCATACTGCAGGACGACTGCTCCAGGAACCTCGCCACCAGCAGCTTGGTGTCCATGTAGGACTTGTAATCTATCAGGGACCGAGGCCGGCAACGCGAAGCTCTGCTCCTCAGACCTCTCCTCAAGGTCACCGTGGCCAGGTCTGGTCTTCCCTCAGTCTGCGTTGCAGCTTCGCAGCTGAGCACGGGGACAGCTGTGGGCAGAGACAAACAATACGTGCCCGTTGGCCATGCCCCTGTGAGCACACACCCGGACCCGAGACAGCACGGGCCACGGAACTTGGCGTGGAAAGCAGGTTGCAAATGCCAACGACCATGCACATCTTGCTTTTCATCTCACAGAAGGAAAAGGGTGGTGGGGAGAAAAAAACCAAAAACCAGAAAACAATGACCCAAGCTCATTCCCTGAAGTTCCGATAGGACGTGTCCCCAGAACATTTCACATAAAACACAATCACCAAGGGAGAGACAGATGATAGGGAAGAGCATCAAGAATGCGCAGCAGTGCCGTGGGGTAATGACCAATGTATGGGGATGGGTGGGCGAGCAGAAAAAAGATGGTGGACCTGATGAGCGAATGCTCCAAGGGCGGAGGATGAAGGAGCCACTTAGAGAGGCTGAGGAGGGACAAGACTGCGGGACGAGTGGAGTGCTCCCCTCCCTTTGACTGTACCTTTGTCCTAAACATCCTCAGGGCATGGTGCCGACTTATCCACGCTCACACCATGGCTGTGAGTCAGCTCTAGGGCTATTAACAGAAAGAAAAAACTAGGTGCGGAAAAATCACACGTCGTTCCAGAAGTCAACAGCAGCCTGGGAAATCCACCACCACAGGCTCTAATGTCTGCAACTATCGACATCAGAAGGGCTTAAGGACTGGCAGAACATGACCGCACCACCAAGTGGGTGAAGGGGAATGCAGGCCCGGTCTCCGCGTGTTCGTAAGCCAGCCAGCAACCTTCAGTGTACATGACCCTGGAGGTTTCAGTCTGTGAAGGCCTGACAAGCAAGCGGGAATTTGATATTCAAGGAAGACAGGAAGCAGAGGGTGGGAGGACAGGTGGAGGGAGGGGAGCACTCCTTTCCCTCGGGAGAAAGGTCGGCGCTCTAAACCGGGGTTAGCGGCCCCCCTCCAGGTTGCCACGAGCATGTCACAGAGAGCCGGAGTTTTCCAGGAAGGCTCCCTGCAGACGCTCGTGTGTGAGGACAGTCAGGGACTACAGTCAGTCACTGGAAGGCAATCTGGGCCGTCTACAGCAGAGGACTCCAACGCTGTAGGTGAACACACGTCTCCTCCCCGCTGCAGCGCCGCAGATCTGGGAGGATCTGACTAAGCTGTGCAGAGAGCCAACTTCCTGTTAAAGCTGGCAAGTGGCCAGCTCGAGTCCTCAACTTGCCAGGTCGGGTGGTAGAGACCCGCAGTGAAACGGGCCTGGGGAGCTGAGGGGCCGGGCTGCCGGCCCGGGGGTTTGCAGAGGTGCTCAGTCCCAGGCGGTGGGACTCCTCCCGGCTCAGAAGACAAGAGGAGTGTTCTCTCTGGCTCGCACACGGTCAGTCCAGGGCTGCAGCGAACAACACAGGCCGTCAGAGGGACAGAACCAAGAGTGCAAGGGGGTGACATGGGGCCCCAGAGAGAGCAAGGTGAGAGCGTTTGCAAAGTAATATTTGCACAGAGCTTGAGGAGAGCAGAGGCCCTTGTTAGAAGAGGTCACCGGAAGAAGCCTGGGCGGCGGGATTAGAGATTTTCATTTTCTCCCTTTCTTTCCTTTATTTTATTTTCACAGTTTTCCACCATGCAGAGCTATTTGGAGATGTTCAGGTATTCACATATTCAGAAAAAGGACTCAATGTTATTTTAAGTCTTTAACATGTTTTAAATTTAAAATTATTCCAATGACATCTGTAACAAACTTCACACAGAAAGGGAGAGCATGGGAGTGTGAGTTTCACTCTATCTAAACTTCTTAAAACAGGTCAGATTCAAACAACTCAACTACCCATACAAAGTAAAAAAAAAAAAAAAAAAAGATAACTTAGGTCATAAGAGAGGGAGTAAAAAAAAAAAAAAAATACACCCCTTGAACTTTTTCCTTGAGAATGTTTATTTCCATAAGACTGTGAGCACCCAGAAATCAGAACGATGTTTGCATTTTCTTCGTCATACCTCGAACACTATCATGTGCAGCCGAATGCTTTTGCTGACAATGACTTCAAAAGAAAAAACTCTACCAGCCTTAAAAAATGTGACAGGTGAATATTCCTAATGTGCATGGAGAATATCGTATTTTCCCAAGACCTCTTAACCTCTCTCAAGACATCTCTCAAGCTGCAGGGCGGTGGGTGGCCAGAGGCACCCGGATTCACCTGGCCGCCTTGGGGCAAACACGCACAGTGCTGTGCAAGGGGCTTGGGGAGTGACATCACCTCTCTCTGCGGAATGATGGAGCACAGGGTCACTCCTCGATCTTGTCCTCAGGGCTGGGAAGACTCTCCGGCTTCCCATGGGAGGTAGCTGGTTTGCATCGGGAGTTGAGATAGATGTGCTTTCTTCTCTGGGTGTGTTAGGAATGTCCTCACCTGATTTTTTTTTTTTTTTTAAACAAGAGAAACATAAGTTATTTCACCAGCTGCTGCCTTCAAAATGTTGGGCAGGAAAGCGCCCGTGAGCCCGAACCTTCAGGGGCAGGGGAACAGAGTTAACCACATTTGCTTAGGCTGTTGGCCAGTGAGCTTTTATTTCCCAGCACCGTGGGAAACGCTTCCTCTCCAAACCACCCCTCCACACTTAAAACAAGCCAACAAAAAATTGTAAGTCCAAGAGTAAAATCAAGAAGCCCTCGCAAAATGTCAGGTGGTTTTTTGGTTTTGTTTTTTTCTGCAAGGGCTTAGAATCTTCTCCAGGGAAGCGTCCCGGTGCAGCGCTAGGAAGCTCCTAGTGACTTTCCAGTTTTTAGCAATGCAAGGTGAGGCGGGGGCGGAAGGAATTCCTGCCCAACTCTGGCGACTTCCCTGAGGGCTGCAGACCATGAATGCAGGCAGTGAAAGCCTCCATACAGCCCAGGGTACAGGCCGGGCTGTGAAAGGCTTGACGGCCATGGGAAAGAGCCAGTGGCCGCCTCGTAGATGGGGAGAACCACTCAAGAAACGGATGACTTCTGCTCAGGACAACCACATCATGTCATCGGCGAGCCTGAGTGTGCTCTGGGAAACTTTGAGAAATGGGAGAAGCCCAAACATACTTAGGGAAGAGAGCACTTCTGCATTATTCTAAGATGGAAGGTGAACGGAACAGAAACTCGTTCCAAATGGTGCTGCTGAAAAGTCACCCCCATCGAAAATAGCTGGAGAGTTGATCCATTATTGATCACCCCTGCCATTTTGTGCTGGTGGACAGTTCTCCGTGCCATTTCAAACCTCTCCAAAGACAGAGAGCTGCAATCATGTTCCCTTGAATGACAAGGATAACTGCAAACTGACTCTTGTTTTTTGAGGCAGGACGGAAAATCAGCGTTCACTACACGTGAAAGCAGCATGACCTGGACCCGAGGTTATAAATGACAGTGCAATCTCACGGCAAATCATCCTGCCATAGACAAAACTCTTTTTTTCCCTTTAAAAGGGCCCATCTTATTTTTACAGGAGAAAGAAAATCTTAGGTGGGAAAACACAGGGATGCCACATTAAACTCTCTAATCCATTTCACAGGTCCCTGAGAAGGGTCTGGTGACTCATCAAAGATTCTGAGGATATTTTTATTTCTGTTCACATAGTATCTCCTACTTGCCAATTGTTGACAGTATTTTTACACCTGGAAAGAAGGATGTAATTTGTGGGGATTTTTTAAGATTTTTAAAAGTTATTTATTTGAGAGAGAGCGCGCGCGAGAGCGCACACGCATCAGTGGGGGAGGGCCAGAGGGAGAGGAAGAAGCAGACTCTCCGCTGAGCGGGAAACTTGATGCGGGGCTCGATCCCAGGACCCTGGGATCATGACCTGAGCTGAAGGCAGACGCTTCACTGACTGAGCCACCCAGGCGTCCCAAGAAGGATATAATTTGAACCACTGGCTTCAAGATATCTGACCTCCAACAAAATATCATATAAGTCATTATTTCATGATGTCTTACTTGACGGAATCCTGAGTTTGGGCAGCAATCGTGTATTTATTACCTTGAGTCAGTGGTATGCAGATCGGTTCCAAGGGGCTCGTGGCACCTTCTAATCCTTCTGGCATGTGGAATGAAGGTCCCTACATCACAGGAGAAAAGAGGGTTATTTGTTGATATTCAGCTCATCCCCCACCTGGACTCCACTGAACTTAGAAGCATGTTCAGGGCCCAGTGTCCCACTGTTCTCTGCACGCCAGGCTGCTTTTCCTACCAGCGGTCAATGTACCAGCGAGAAACCATGGACCGTACCTGCTCCTGGTCCATCTGGCTCACCACAGCTTCATAGGGAGGTGGGGGGTCCAGGGGACAGAACACTTCCACACCTTTGATTCGTGCTCCGTAGATATGTGGAAGGGGAATAACATCAGGACCGACCATCCTAGGAAAAGCATCTTGGCATCAGGAAGCACGGTCTACAGACTTCTCGTCTGACGTACTTGCTTCTGCATGATGATGGCCTTTACCTCGGGCCGGTTATCCGCTGACAGAGCAGAAGACCCCTCACCCCTCCAAGACAGTCTTCTGGCCCAGAAGCCGGGGGGGATAATCTCAGCTGATGGGGTGCCCAGAGTTTCTTAGGCAAGTGACAATGTATAAAATGCAATGCCATCATTTCTTTTACATCCACAAGCCAAAAAGCAAGCAATCATCCACAAAGACAGAAAGCAGATTCGTGGTTGCCAGGGGCTGGGGGCTGGGGACTGGGGAGTGACTGCTGAGTGGGTTCGGGTCTCCCTGGAGGTGATGAACATGCTGCAGAACCAGATGGGGGTGGAAGTTGCACAGTACCTCGACTGTACCAAATCCCACTCAACGGTATGCTTTCAAATGGTTCAACTCATGTTATGTGAACGTCACCTCAATGAAAGAAAAAACAAAACTAGGGACTTGGGGCAACTTAATTATTTCTTACATTAGTACCTGACAAAATTCTTGCCTGCGTTTCCCTAATGTCTGATTCATGGTAGAAACTCTCTATTTGTTAAATAAATATTTGAAGGTCTGAATTACTTTTTTCTAGGAAAGTGAACAACATCACAGCTCAAAGACAAAGCAGGATGAATCACAGAGTGACCCTTCCTAAATACAGTCAGTCAACAAACACTAGCTGAGCACTGCCTTCATGCCAGGCACTGGGGCTTTTGTCCTGTGAGTGGGAGACCCTCCATAGCAAATAAATAAATAAACCTCAAGATTTTCTGCCTGTGTTCATAGAAAACTCACACACATAAATAATCTAGATAATAAAGAGCCTAAATTGTAAAACGATAGTTTAAAATATATAGAAACTTGTTCCTTTTGACCAAACTTCCAGTTATAAAATAAGTAAGTCCCGGGGGATGTAATATACAGCATGGTGACTACAGTTAATAATACTGTATTCCCAGGGCGCCTGGGTGGCTCAGTCATTAAGCATCTGCCTTCGGCTCAGGTTATGGTCCCAGGGTCCTGGAATCGAGCCCCGCATCGGGCTCCCTGCTCGGCAGGAAGCCTGCTTCTCCCTCTCCCACTCCCCCTGCTTATGTTCCCTCTCTTGCTATCTCTCTCTCTGTCAAATAAATAAATAAAATAATAATAATAATAATAATAATACTGTATTCCCTATTTGAAAGTTGCTAAGAGAGTAAACCCTAGAAGTTTTCATCACAAGAAAAACAATCTGGTAGCCATGTGTGGTGATGGATGTTAACTAGACTTACGGTGGCGATCACTCCACAACATACACAAATATGGAATCATTATGCCATACACTTGAAGCTAATAGAATGTTCTAGGTCAATTATATCCCATTTTAAAAAGATACAATGAAGACCAGAAAACCTGTACTCAGGCCGTGGAGTATTAGGGAACGAAAACAAGAGATAATAGCAAAAGTTTAATGCCCGTTCTCGAAATATGAAAATGGACATAAGCTGAAGGAGACAGGTGAAAGATTCTGGGCCAGTGGCACACAAGGGCTGCTTTTTTTAGAAAGGGGCTCTGTGGATTCATGGTTGTTTCATTTTATTCCTGCGCCCGTTTAAAAAAAATGCAAACGGTGGAGGAAAAAAAGTTGAAAAAGATGCGATGTTCTTTTTTTCCTAGCAGTAAAACCAGTGGACAAGGGGACTTGCTTTACTTAGTGAGCCCTAGGGACTTCTTCTGTCCTCTCCAGAGGGCCAGTCTTCAATCCTGAGTTAGCATGACCCCATGAGCCATCTTTCCAGCACTCACAAATCCCCTGGCTTCCCCTCTCAGCCAGCTCCCCTCATTTCTCCTCTGCTGTGTCCTCCCCAGGAAAGTGAATACCCCCCGCTTTGCCTGTTGGTTTGTTGGCTCTGGTGGTCTTTGATACTCGCCACCCAATGGCTATGTTCACAGAGAAGAGAGGGTTTGCTTGGGGCCAGGAGGTCAGGGGAACAGACTTCATTTTAGATCTTAAACGACCATGGAATCCCTTTAAGAAGGGGGAGAGGGAAGGGGATACATTTTCTTTAAATCGACCACAATGAACAGCTTCTTATGGTGGTAACTCTAATGACCAAGGAAGCCTCCGTGTGACAGAAGATGCTTCTAGGAAAAAAAGGAAGCTTCCTTTCCTGTGAAGCAGTTCTTATTTCATATCTTTTGGGTACAAAGGGATCTGTCTGGGGAAACAGGTGCACTATGTCCTGGCAGGTATTTTCCTGATCCCTTATGGCCCTCAACCCTAGCTAGGGAGTAGAATCACCTGGGGAGGTTTGCAGACTATGGGAGGCCCAGGCCTTGTCTCTAGAAATTCTGCTCTAATTGCCTGTGGTGGGGCCCACACAGATAAGAAGAGATTTTGATCTCCTAAAAATCAGCTAAGCGGCCCTGTGGGGCTGCCAGGCAGGGCCGCACTGGGCACGGAGTCACCCACGAGCAGAGCCTGGCTCCACTTGAGTTTGGGTTCTGAACTTCATGAGGAAAAGGAATGAGTTTACTATATTCACCACTGAGGAATAAATGCCTGTGTTCACTTTTCCATAATCTTCCGTGCTCTGTAACACATTACGTCCACATGGTACAACCAGGTCCCCAATTACAGAATAGGTGGGATGCTCTCCTTTTTGATCCCAGCTCCAACCAATTTCTGAGAATGGGGGTGGGGGGAGGCTCCCTGGGGTCGTGGAGGAGGAGTGCACAGCCCTGACTCTCATTACAAATCAAGTCATGAGGCAGAAGCCCATCTTTGGATGGAAACCTTCACTGCAATCAGGTTTCTGTTTATGGCAGTAATTTGAGAAGTCCTTTCTCAAGGAGGGACCAATGCATGCAGTGATTGTATTTATAGAAGGGAAATAAATAAAGCGCTCTGAGAAGTCGTATAATACCTTGCAGGAAGTGGGGAGTTTGCACTGTGTGACAACTCTTCACGTCCCCGGTTGTGGAAATATTAAAGAAAACATTCGTTACTATTCTTGCCTGCCTGCTTCTAAGAAAGAAAATCACCAGTTGGGGTCAAACAGTTAGTGTCTATAAAATGGATATATAAAAATCTAGCAAAGTCGGTCAAATGCAAAAATACCTTTGATACAATATGTATCTGAAAGTGAATAAATGTAGCCATTTAACAAGGAAAGTGGACCGCCCTCTAGTATTGGGAGAATTTCAGAAAATGAGGCTGTTTGCCTACTGGAGATATGATCTAGGCCTCCAGGTATATGCTTTGGGCCTAGCAGTGTCTCCTTTCCCACAAGGATGTATTACTTTAACACCCTTCCCCATGTTCCTTCCGGAAAGTTCGGAATGATAAAGCCCTTGGTGAGAAGCTTGTCTGGATTTGGTGAGGGGCAGTCTCAGGACTCAGAGGGGCGAATCCAGGGATGCACCCACATCCCAAAGAGTGGAAATACCCACACTGATAAGCATTACTATGGCGGCACCGAAAAGAGAAATGGAAGAGAGAAGGGCAGGTGGGGGAGGGGCGGTCTACAGGACAGTGAGACTCCTAACCCGCATGAGTCACTTTCCCTTTCTGCCACTGCAGGAAATCAAATCTGTCTGTTGCCTCCTCTCAGGTCAACCAAGGGCTCACCTACAATCTCAGAGAGCCACTTAATTCTTCTCGAAGATGGCATTTCTCTTTCCAACCACGAAATAACAGGTTTTTGTTTTTTTTTTTACTGCCTTCCAACACGTCCTCCTGCACACAGCCTGAGACTGGGCTAAGGTATGAGCAAAGGTGTCCTTTGGTGCACAAAGAATGACTCTGAGCAACAGGTCGGGAGGTTACCCATGGAGAAGAACGTTAACAGTGTCTGGGCGGTAGCTCCCACCGGTGACCTGCTTCAAAGCCACACGTGGCCGTCCCGAGCATTAGCAAGCGGATTTCCAAAAACCCCAAGGCTGCCACCACATTTGTCTGACAACTCTCCTTGTATACCTTGGGGATTAAAAGTTGAAATTCCTGGCCCTCTGAATCTCAAGCTAAAGACACGAGTCTTTCTTACAGAATTCAGAGATTTTCTTTTGGAAGCTTAAATATGGTTTGCTGATCCTTGAAATTTGGCTTAAGATCACTTCACCCACGAAGCCAACCCTGACTGGCTGACTCTTCCTTCAAAGCTCTCTGCAGCCCATTCACCATCCTGGGTTAGGTGGTCCTCCTCGGTGCACTCAAAATCTCTCTTTTGAGAATTATTATGATCCTTGCAACACTCAGCTGTAATGACCAAGACTGCGAGCTCCTTGAGAGGGGAACGAGGCGGGTCTAAGTCATCTGAAATGTCACCAACCTGGGGGGGTGGGGGGATAGGGGGTGACTAGTAAGCAGCAGAGGACTGATTAAATGTTTGTCGAATAAATAAACGAAGTCATTCTTTAGAGAAGTACAATTCTAGAAGTCCATAACAACCAGACGAATGCATGCATCATTTCCTTCTGCGGATAGTCATTTCTGAGATTTAAGAAACAAACGATAAATTTTGAGCTAGAATTTGAAAAAGGAAACCAGCGTGGTGTCTATTTTTTCTAGACCAGGGAGAAGTCATGAATAATTAATCTCTTTTTAATGGCTTTGGAAGAATGTCATGATTTGGGGCCCCGCTGATGGTGTTATAATGAACATTGATTTGGCCTGAGCGTGCGTGTTTCCTGGGCAACCGCAGCTCTCAATCAAGTCACATGACAGCGACTGTCTCACTGGGTGTCAGTTTTCCTGGGAAGCTAATTGAAATGGAAAAAGTATATCCTTAGTTCGAGGTGGGACTTTTCTTTGGTTTCAGCCGTTTATCAGACAAAACAGCAGGGTGGGGAAGGGGGATAGAAAATCCTGAAAAGGGGTGCCTAGCCGGCTCAGTGGGCACAGCGTACGAGGCTTGATCTCAGGGTCTTGAGTTCAAGCCCCACACTGGGTGTGGAGCCTACTTCAAAAAGGAAGAAAGAAAGAAAAAGAAAAAAAAGAAAATCCTGAAAAGTAACACCATCTGTCTAGATTTTGGAGAGAAGTAAGCTCATGCTATAGGTCGTCCTGGAAACCTTTCAGTCTTCCAAACCGAGGCCACCTCACAGACGGCTGGGGCGGGGGCACTCAGGAAGGCTACCTGCGGTTCATCCGGGGTGTGCACGAGTAAAATGTGGCGAAATAGGAGGGGGGGGGCACTGGTGGCACGAAGTCATCGGGGTCTGGGATCCGTCCGTGTTCTTCCACTTCTTCGGCAGAAATCTGGGATTCGTCCTGACGAAACAAGCAGCTCGGTTAGTCAACAGCCTTCAGGACAAAGGCCCCGTGGGCCACAGTCATGGTGCCACCTTGTATGGACTTACGAGGCAGGGTCTTCTGGCTGCAAATATCTGGAGGTAGCGAAGGGCAGCTGCTGCCAAGCAGACGGTGGTGGTCAGGGCGTTCAAGGCACACAGGGCGAAAAGAACTTTCTAGAACAAGGAGACAGTAACACTACTGAGCACGTCAAAGCTGACGACCAGGGGCTCCTGGGTGGCTCACTGGTTAAGCATCTGCCTTCGGCTCAGGTCATGATCCCAGGGTCCTGGGATCGAGCCCCACATC